CACCATTGACCTGAACTTAGAACATTATACATGTTATTATTTGATACAAACTATATATCAGAAGGGGTTTTGTGGATATTATAGTAATTTTAATAGTTGAGATCACGAGTCATTTGAAGCTAGACCACCATGGAAAAGCTGGAATTACTGGACGACTGTTTCGTCCCACTGTGGAACTCCTCAACAGTGCGCATTCATGATCTCGTCTTGCGGGATTCGAACGCTAAACATTAATGTCAACAATCTAACAAACTTTTCATCCATTAGATAAACCTGATCAACAATGAGAATGTATTGAACTCAAAAACAAACATGTTTGATCTGAAGATTTTGACATTTAAATTATCAGAGAAGTGTAGAGATTATTTCGTCTCTAAAGTCGGTATGTAGGCAGTATTCAGGAGATACGTATCAATCTTGTTTTGTAAAGAAACTTGTGAATATTCATTAAACCTTAATATATTTCTGCCATTATCATATTCTGCTGTTGATTCCAAATGATTAAGGATTTTGTGAATTCCTATGGAAACTTATAGTCACAAGTTAGCAGACTGAAACATCAGGTGAAATTTAACCGCGGTACATATATCACTGTGCTGTTGTTATATGTCTGTAACAATGTATATCATGTTTCATAAAAGAAAGTAATACCACATGAACTAAAACTCTTTTCTGTTCAGGTCATCACCTTTCAATGATAACCATACTGAATCAGTTGGTTGAGTTAAGGTTAGTTCCCTTTGACAGATTTGACAAGTTCACAAATACTGATATCACCTTAAAAAATAAACAGTTTATAGTTTTAATACATAAATATTCACCAAACCTCTAATTGCAAAATATTTCCAATTTATCTATCAATTATAGGCAATTTTTTCTTCCCTTATGGTACATGAAAATAAACCTAAAGCATTTTGAATTCATTTGGTGTTGTATCTTCCCGTTGTTGTTAAGGACTGTAATTGATCAGTCTTTTATTGGCGTATATGCATCCTGTGCTTATTGCCTCTATATTACCTTAATTCACAAGCATTATATACAAGGATGTATAGCAGTTAGCAATGAAATCCAGGACGCGCGCTTCGTCCTATTTGGGACTCGTCAGCTGAATGTACCTGCACTCGAGAGCCGATATTCACTCTAGGACTCGAACCCAGTACCGTTCGCTTGAAACGCCATCGCATTATTCACTTAGCTAGTGAGTCATGATATTGCATCATTAAACATTAAACATAAATTGTGTATAGTTGTTGAAGATTTCAGTAAGATGAATAAATGAGTGTTTGTTTGTTAAAATGATTGAACTAATAGAATTTTGATTAATACATAAGTAATGACTTCTCACAAGTCGGGATGATCGACTCACCTTCGAATGCACTGTTATCAAAGAGAATACCAGCTCGAAGACAGTTATTTTTCGGTCATTTATCATAGATACTTTACCTACTTATCAGTAGCTTAAAAAATTCTATACAATTTTACAATTACTAGTGGGTTGTGAAGATTATTAGGTTTTCGATTGAGATCGTGAACCGATTTATGTTAGACCACCATGGAAAACCTGGAAACAGTAGTCTAGAAGTTAAGCGTTCGCATGCGAGATCGAAGACCTTGGGTTCAAATCCCGTGAGGCAGGATCGCGAATGCGCACTGTTGAGGAGTCCCGCAACAGGACGAAATGGCCGTCCAGTGCTTCCAAGTTTTCCATGGTGGTCTAACATCGATTGGTTCATGATCTTAATCAAAAACAAATTTATAAATCGTTTGTAAGTATTCATGACTTTACAATCGGATTAGTTACCTACATTATCGAGCATCATCTTTGTAATTCAGAGTTATATAAAATGAAAATGGTGTATAATAACTGCGAAAAGTATTTTCCGGAAATTATATTCAATACATGACCATATGGTATTAAAATAACGAGACAAAAAGCAATTTACAGCTTAGAAATAAATATACTAAACTGCAACTGTGGTTATGCTACTGATGTCGACTGATATAAGTAGTATGTATCATCAATGGAAAGTAGTATGCCTGGAGGCAGAAGGTTGAGAAGTCTAAGGAGAATAGAGAATGATTGCTGTGAAAACAAAAGAACAATGAATTCTGAGTTGATTGATTGACATTTTGCAAATCAACTATTTACTTTATGATACACACATTTGACTAAGAGATTATATAATTTCGTTTCCACATACATTCGATTGTCCCCATTTGTGTTCTGGTTCACTACACAAGCACTCGTACAGCCTATTAAGTTTATTAAGGCCAAGGACTTAGAACCATACCAGCAAAGTTTCTTACTTATCTTATTGTTGATGAGCATGATTTAATTATAATTAGTCGTTATTGACATATTTGTATATTATGTTGATTGCCATTGTAATGTTATTTAAAGTACATATGTCTAATGGGCTCCGAGTACGACAAATATGTGTCTTTTATACTCATTACTAGTCACAATATATCGATCTTAAATAACAAGTATCTTGACAAAATAATGTGCTGATACTCCGTAAACCGATTTTTGTTTTTACTTTGGTACAAGATGATAAAGGATATTTATAGTTCAAGATGAAGCTGTTGAAGTTGTTATGATCTCTATGCTAAATGGATTTTGTTTATAAAACATTCAATGTTCTTCTCAACAATGGACAACATTATCACATTAAATAATAAAACAATTAATTCAATGAAGAAATCCTTTTTAGACGAGTTTAACTGTTTTAACACTGCAAAATGTGTATATCTATTAAAAAGCTCAATGAATAATAGTGGTTCTGTTACTGTTTGATTAAAATTTCACACCATAATACATTTAAATAGACAAATAGTAATTGAAGAAGAGAATTTATAAAACGTATGAAGTATGTAATGAATGGAGTGAACGGAGCAACTGAGAGAATGGAGACGTGTGAATGGGGATCATCTTGATAAACATAATCTTTGATGAAATAATTATAATTATTATTGTTATCAGTAACCAGCTATTTCAGTCTAAGTTAATGCGGTATGGTATATTTATATAAACCCAACTCATATTGAATTAATCAATCTTATTTTGTCTATACAATCAATGGTCTAAGGAGAATTTAATGTTCTAAAACCATCTATAACATTGCAAAAGACCATGTGAATGATTATAAATACATTATATTATTATGATGTATAACTTTCATCAAATTATACATGGAAAATATCATATCTTGAGGTACTACAATTTCTAAATCTAGAAAATGTAAATAACTAACATGCCCAGTTACACTTTGCTGAACTAATCATCGTCGGAAAGAAGACTCTGAAGAAGTGGCTTACGTTGCGTTACGAAACGTGAGGAATACAATTTTTCTACTTATTGGAGTATAACAAAAGAAATATATCTTATTAGTAATTCTCTGTCCAATGGTCAATTTATTTGAAACGAACAAGTCCAAACTTGGCATTGATACCTATTATTGACATACTTATGGAAATCTTAGTAGTGAATAGTCGCTAATTTTGGATTACACGTTGAAAAACTTCAATATAAGATTGTAAGTAACGGGTTATGGCGAACGAGTCCAATAGGGTTGGTAATAAACTTAGATGTTACTTATGCTGAAGCTGAAAATCAATTAGAAGGAATAATTTGAATATAATTCTCAAACAAATTATTTCACTCGAAGTAGACTGGTAACATTGGTAACTCTTCTAAGCAATACAGTTAAATTAATGTGCACCATGTACGTGACATCACAAGTGTTTCTAGTAACACGCGAGATCAGCAGGTCCTTGGTTTGAATCTCTCAGAGGGCAAATTCATGGATGCGCACTGCTGAGTCTCATGATAGGGCGAGACGGTTGTCCAGTGCTTCCAGGTTTTCCATGGTGGTCTAGCTTCAACTGACTCATGATCTTAACCATTGAAATTACCATAATATCCATAAAACCCATCTGATACAAAAATATCTGTTGTGATTATGTAGTTCCTGCAATTGAAAAACATATGGAACTCAAAACAACTGTCTATCAACCAATATCAAAGTCAGAATCTTCAATACGAATATCAAGGCAGTTCTACTGTATAGAGCTGAAACTTGGAGAACTACAACCACCACCATCAAGAAGGTACAAGTATTTATAAATAGCTGTCTTCGCAAGATACTCAACACCCATTGGCCGGATACCATCAGCAACAGCCTTTTGTGGGGGAGAACAAATCAGCTTCCAGTTGAAGAGGAAATTAGGAAAAGACGATGGAAATGGATAGGATATACATTACGCAAATCGTCAAACTGCATCACGAGACAAGCCCCAACTTGGAATCCTGAAGGTAAGCGAAAAAGAGGAAGGCCAAAGAACACATTGCGTCGGATAATAGAAGCAGATATGAAAACGATGAATAGGAACTGGACGGAGCTAGAAAGGATTGCCCAGGACAGGGTTGGATGGAGAATGCTCGTGAACGGCCTATGCTCCTTCACGAGGAGTAACAGGCATAAGTAAGTAAGTAAGTAGTAGAATTGTATAAACAAATTAGACAGTGATGAAGCAATGAAAGTATAATCAAGAAGGGATATAGAAAATGGGATGAGTTTAACTGTAGTAAATTTTTTGTAGAATTTGAGATAAGGCACTAAAAAAAGTGAAATACAATAAGTCGTTTGACAAATAAGAATTATGTTTCATTAAAAATAATCACCAATGTGGTAGATTGATGAGCATAGTGATGATTTTCTTGATAAGAACACAACATTGGGATTATATATGAAAATTATATTTAAAATAATCTCAGCGATTGAAACTTAAATAATTCCAACGTTTCGTCCAGTTAATATATCTGAACTTCTTCAGAGTAATAATATAATGACTTCTCTATACTGGGCGCCTAATTTCTGTCAAACTATTCATCCTAATCTTGACGAATATTCATATAGACACAATATTGTATTTGTTTAAATCCATAAATGACTATTTAACAATCTTGTGCATAGAGCCTGTACGAAAAAACTGGAAACTATTTAATGACGCTTTATTTATGTTTCTTTAAAGGTATAACATGTAAATGACATGGAGTTATATATGTATTAATGAATTTTTATACTGTATACATTTGAACTCATTTTGATAATAAAAAGAAACCCATTGTAAACCTGGAAAATTAGTTAATCATAAGGGAAACTGTATTTTATATCACTAAACGCATTCTCAGCGCAAAGTATTTCAACAAGTTTCCGTTTCTTTCTTCTTGGTCGGTCCTGGCGATAAGTATTGAAGAATCGCCAGTTAGATGTTAGCACTTCAGTGAATGAACAACTGAATAATGTACATTCTTTTCGTTGTACATTGCCAGCAACCATATTGTCTCTTATTGAGTTTTCTGTAACTTTGACAACGAAAGGTTGTACACTTTTTAGAAACGCAGCAGAATAGGTTATGCGATTAATAAACATAACGATATATTAAAACAAACAACAATAGATAACTTGTTGAAATATCTAGATGGCAGGAACAGGTAGCCCAGATGCTCAAGCAGGCCGCCTTGATTATTGTTAACTAACTATTATACTTGTTACTAATAGATAACCTAATATTATTCTATTCTGTAGTTCGTTTTTCCCCACAAACAGTTTCAAATGAATATCATATTCACACGATGACTTGACCTAGTAATCATAAACAGATTATTTTGTATATAATTTTAGGAAAGAATGAATGATATGAAGATTAGACTATATATCAGAATAGAAAATGTTTACTTTTTTTTGGAGGGGCGGGGGAATGAACGAGTTGAATATTGTTGTGGTAATGAAGTATGACAACTTGGAATGATCCACATATGTGCCTGGTTCAACATTGTAGCTGATTGATATTGTATTTATTATGAAATTGATCTATATTAACACCATTTATGATAATGATTATGATTAATTGATTTACATCAATAGTAATAAAAGAGATAAAAAGAAACAGATAGATATATGAAGATTATGATGTAGAAGTAATTTGCGATAATAAGAGACTTAACGAACAAAGTGAACAGATCAATTCCATTCATCATAATGACAGATAGAATAGTAAAACAAAAACAAAAAAAGAAAAGAAAAAGATGATTAGCAACACTAATACACTTGACACTTGATAATAATGAAGAACAGAAAAAGAGATAAAAACGAATCCATAAACAGGAATGTTTTTTCTTTTGTATCCGAATGAGAAAACTTAAATCATCATCATCATCATCTTCATCAAATTGACTCAATTCTCTGAATGTTATGAATAACCAGTATGGTTTTTGTCTTCTTGTTTGTTTATGTGAATACGTTATCAAATAAATAAATAAATAAACAAATAAAGAGATAAATAAATGCAACTTTACTATGAGATACACAGGCATTTATAGTTTGAGTACCTTAGTAATTGAAAGAAAATTAATCCTTCCTTCATTGTAAACAATAATGATGAGCATATATTGTAAATAACCATTGTCATTTGACATTATGTGTCTCTCTGTGTGTATGTGTGTATGTGCGTATTAGGATATTGAATAAGCACAGTAAAGTAGTTAAGTGAAATCAACTTTCAGGTATTAATTGTAAAAGTTTTTGTGAACCCAATGTGAAGTCATCTATAAAAAGAAAATGGAGAAATATAAACAGATGATTAAAACATAATTGAAATATTAGAAGAGCTTTGTGGAGATGATCGTAATTTCAATAGTTGAGATCATGAGTCATTTGAAGAAGTTAGACCATCATGAAAAATCTGAAAGCACTGGACAGCCGTTTCGTTTTATTCTGGGATCTCCCAGGGGGTGAGGCCGTGGATGTGCACTGCTGAAGAGTCCCACAATAGGACGAAAGGGCCTTCCAGTGCTTCCCGGTTTTCTATAGTGGTCTAGCTTCAACTGACTCATGATCTCAGCTATTGAGATAATGATACTTAGGAATTGTGCAAACACCGATAACAGGATGTCAATTTAGTAGTCTACAGGTTAAGAGCTCGCCTCTAGGTTGAAAGATCTCAAATTCAATCTATGATAGAGTCGCCGATGTGTACTGTTGGTTAGTTCTAAATTAAAATGAAATCGATATCTACTGTTTTCTGACTTTTAATGATTGTCTAACAAAAGTTAATCCATAGAGTGAATTACTACTTATAACTAATTATCATATTACTCAATAATCTCTGTGCTACTATTTTATTAGTCAATTAGAAAAGATAACTCTGGCTTTTATATCGACAATCGCATTTGTAATTCATTGAATTACACATTTAAGCCTCAGTCTATGTTCATTGAGAGTAAATTGATAATAATTAAAACTTATTACTTCACTATATGCAATAAGATTAATAAGTACTGCTATCTATCTTTTTGTTGGGGATCTTAGATCCCCAAAACTCACTAGGGAAAGAACCTAATTTTTGTAATTTTATTAACAAAATTTGGATTTCTCTGTTTTCGCGCCAAAGGCGCTCTTGTCACCTTCATGTCGTATTTCCCACTTGAGAAATATCTTAAATGCTATTGGTTCGTTGCGTCTTTCAGTATGTTATTTGGTAACTCTCCCCAAGGACGGTTTTGTACTGTATATGTACGTTTTGAATTGTGCTTGTTATTATCGCTCGTTTCTGGTTGTTTGCAGAATATACTTCCGCATTTCAAGCTTCGACTCCTCCCTCTACTTAGTGGGGCTGGGATGCATCAATACCTAGCTTACTAGTCTTTGGTCACCAAGTCTTGTTTCTCGTTCTCAGATTAAATGAACTTGTGATAGCTTCAAACCTAGCACCTTCTCTTATTTGAATTTTATCCATTTTTCGGCGTGATATTTTATTCAAAGAAAAGATTGTTAGGCAAGAATGCGGTAATAAGGAAAGAAAACAAAAAACTTCACCTTGAATGTAACAAAACTGTTAGTAAGGTTTAAAAAGCAAACAAATAAACAACTAAATGATGTGTATCATCTATAATGGAAACCTGAAGGAGAATAAGAACCGTGTGAATCATTTGATTGTATAGATTAACATTGAAGAAATCTTGATGATTGATCATATCTTTTTAAAGTAATGATAATACTTACCTTACTTTTTCTTTTTAGAATAAAACATTTGTGTAACCATTTAAAATGCTCATTGTATCATAGTTGAATGTACTTCATTTATGAATTAGTATTATAAATAGTTAGAAATTATTCAAACGTTACTAACTGTATTATATTTTAATTCATTTGATATTGTTTAACTTAAATCATTTCATTAATGTTTAGGATTGTAATTGATTATCAGTCTCTTATTGGTATATATATGTGTCCTGTAAGGACTGTCTCGATATTGTCTTAATTTACAAGCATTATAACCAAAGATGGATAGTGATTAGCATTGAGATTCCAGATACGCGTTTCGTCCCATTAGAGACTCTTCAGTTGGATGTAACTGCATCTCAGAGTTGACGTTGACACTGAGACTTGAACCTAGTACCGTTCATTTGATACAACATCATGTTATCCACTTAACCACTAAGTCCTGATATTATATTTTATTTTATTTAACAAACGAATATTGTATCATAAAGCTGAATAATTTAAACAATGATTTAACCCATAAAAAAACGAATAATTAACTTCAGCATATAATTTATGGTATTGAATCTATTGAATGCTGGTCGGTGGCCTATGCTCCATTGGGAGTAACAGGCGTAAGTAAGTAGGTAAGTAAGTAAGTATTGAATCTATTCAATGATTCAAACTAAAATAAGATATAAATGTAATTCAAACATCCCATCTAAAATGAACTCAGATTATTATTATACTTCCAAGAGTTGAAGTTAAGAAGAGTTAGGCAGAATTTTGATTAATGACTTTTTCTTTTCGCTAATTAGTTGTACATAGACTATTTCATATGTTTCAATGAAAAGAAAAAGAATAACGACATCATAATATCTTTCAGGTAATCCTATAATGTTTATTCATTGTTATGACATGAAGTTTATATTGACAATCCAATTATATTGATCTCCAATTTCATTGTCTCCATTAATTGACATTACAGTGTAAACTAGTCATGATCTCAATTGATCAATGATAATACCCTTTTTGTTAACAATATTGGGTACTACGTGTTCAAACTTCAAATGTTACATCATTTCCTTACAGGTTTCAGATATAGTTCGGTAAAATGTATTCACCACCAACATCAAACCTAATGTTCCAAGTTTATTTTTTCCAACTTATATTCCATTCAGATGAATGAAATAAGTTAACAATTTACAACAGCTAACTCAGTACTAAAGTCATCAGTCACCGATTCTTTCCTTCCACAAAAAAAGCGACAAAAAAGAATAAACACATTAGAGCAAATCAAAAACCAACACATATACTTACATAATACACGTTGAAATACTTTCGGTTTATTCTTCCATACACAACCAATAAGATAAACCGGAATCCCAGTGAAAATAATAAGTAACCCCATTACTAAAACACAAATGATTGATTGATATTTTGAAGGGGGGGGAGGGGAAACAAACCAAAAAAATAATAATAATACAATCAACAGTTTCTAAGGTAAGTAAATAAATGAAAAGAGTTCAATGATATTTGACATTGAATTGTTGAATCTATTCATCACTGTACTACTATTGATCCATTACAAATTTAATTCATGTTGTTCAACGTGTGAAAGTATAACAGTCAATTACTATCGTAAATAAATTCATTTATCTATAATGTCTATTATGTCAGCTCATTCTATTGACAACATGAGGATATAAATCGTTTATACATATTACAAGAGATTTTAAAGGCAAGAACATAACAATCATTGAGTATCAATCACTGGCTACCATGGGACTGTACCTCTTGACGTTGCTCCATTGTCTTGTGGATTAGACCTGTAGGTCAAAGGCTCGACATTTGGCTCTTCAAGAGTTTTGGGCACCCGGGCAGTATCTCAGACCTCATACAAATCGAATGATTTATGTGGTGTATATCTGTATATCTGTACTTTCTTGTATCAATGTTTATGTGTTAAAATAAATACTTTCTACTATTTTCATAGAATATAGACAAATCAACATAAATAGTCAAAAGAATAAATTCACAGGTTCACATTGAATTCTTATACTTAGTGTTAAACATCATTAGCAAGAATCTCCAAACACTGATTCTAGTTATTCAGTAAACTTAATTAAGAAGTTTTATATCACTTGAAACGAGTTCAACTATCATTCAATGACAATCGGTCGGAACTAAATATGAGAATTCATAAACCAAGTAGATACTTTAGAAATAATCTCTAACCTAAATAGTTTAATTACAAAAACTTTACTCTGACTGACATTATCAGTTCGTACTACTTAAAAAATCATTTTTTAAAATTTATTGTACAAGTTTTCATTCAGATCCTTCTGATAGTCTCATACTTGTGATTAGTTATCTTTACAAAAACAAACAATCAAAATAACATACTGACTAGTCAATAAACTATTTCAGTAGGAATAGTATTCTGTATTTATAAACAACTGTCTACGCAAAATACTCAACATCCATTGGTCGGATGCCATCAGCATTAGCTTACTGTAAAAGAGAAGAAACCAGCTTCCAAGTGAAGAGGAAATTAGGAAAAGACATTAGAAGTGAACAGGACACATATTACGGAAATCATCAAACTGCATCATGAGATGAGCGCTTACTTAGAATCATGAAGGGAAATGGAAAAGATGAACGTTAAAAAACATACTGTGTCGGGAATTGGAAGCAGATATGAAAAAAGATGAATAATACTTGGAAAGAGCTGGAAAGGATTGCTTGAGACAGGGTTGGATGACGATTGCTGGTGGGCATCCTATGCTTCTCCACGAGGAGAATAACAGGAGTAAGTAATTCAATAAGTAAGTAAAGTCATCGTTTTAAATCCCTTAACGATTTAAATTTAATTATTTCTGTCTCTAGTTTTAAGCAAACTCATTGACCAGAACAACAAAACAACTGTTTTTTACGGAATGATTCACATAGAATGATAAAATAGATTTGTTTAAATAGGGAACATTTTATAATTGACATAAACAAATAAATCGTTATAGTTCGATTTATTTCATAAACACAATAATGATCTAATAATGGGGACTTATATCCTTACAGTAAGTAGGCATAAGACAAAAACTATTTTGAATGACAGTGATATTGGGGTCAAATTGCATCTTTATTATTAAACAATGAAGTAAACATTATGAGTAATACTACTATTGTAGTGAACAAGAACACGGGTGGGGGCAATCGAATATACTTAGAATAACGATTACAGACCATCTCAATAGAATCTGAATACCATAAAGTCAATTGTCCATTTGCAAAATATTAATGTATCATATCAAACTGGGCTGTTTCCGTTGCAAACACTAATCCATTGTCTCCCATTCCATTGTATATGCGTTTTCTTACAAATTCCATTGTGCTGTCGCTCTTCCTTTCTTGATCTTCACCTCATCTTCTGCTGCCAGATATTACGTTTTAACTTGCGACATATACTACTTATATCAATATAAGTAGCACACCACACTACTACTACTAATAATAATAATAATAGTAGTAATAATCATAATAATCATGGAATGATTCCCTTGAATTCTAATCAATACATTTGATCAATATCAACGTAGAAGACTCGATAATTTCAAATAAATTGAACATTGAATAGAGAGTTAATAATAAAATATATCACATTTGTTATATTTCAATGAATAGAAAAATTAGATTTTCTGACGTTTCGTGACTTAGTGTAAGTCACTTCTTCAGAGTAAACAAAAAACGATAAAGAGATCAGTCTAAACAACTAGCTTACATTACATTAAAAAAACACATCAGAAATATAATTTTCTACTCATTGAAGTATAAAAAAGAATATATTTACAACTAGATTGACTGAACTCCACCTGGAGCCTTTCTTGGGCTACTGCCGGTACCAAGATAGGATAAAAAGAGGAGGGTTGGGCATGGAGTTAACGACCTTATCCTGTAGAGAACTAACTCGCTAAAAGAAACACTAACCACGAAATAAATTGACTTTATTTATAAAAGATAGAAATATATTCAACGTGTATTAATTAACTTTTAATGTAAACAAAATGTTGTTATTTATAATAAAGATACGTTTTATAGGTATGATTGTTAAGATTTGATTTGATCATTTCGAATAAATTGAGCATTGGATAGGTTGTGATAAACAAAATTAATATATTTTTTATATTCCAATGAGTAGAAACGTCAGATAATCTAATTTCTTTCTAGTTATTCGGATATCTACAAATCTATTACTTATTTAAAGATGTATTTTCTTATAACAATTGTTTGCTAAATAGATTATTATTTATTTGTTTCTTTAAACACATAAACATTGATCCAAGGAGACACCAAACAGATATGCACCACATAAATCATCTGATTTGTGTGAGAGCTGGAATACTCCCAGGATGTGCGAACCGAAACAGGTAGTTTTCTTAGGAAGTCACACCGGGAGCCTTCGATTTAAAGATGTGATCCACAAGGCAGTGGAACATGGTAAAGAGATGCAGTTCTATGGTATCCGGTCACCAACAGTAGGTTTATACACCATTTGTTCCTTCAGGATACTGAAGCCCATGTGCAACAATGGTTTGGAATCACGATTTTCCAACTCCCCTAAGTGGACTCTTCGTATCCAATAATTCGGTTAAAGTGCCGTACATTCTCTTTTCATCCTCTCTATTTCATAAACGACGTCCATGTTGCGAGAAGGCAGTGAGTAAAACTTCCCTAACAGTGGATGTATGCAAGTGGTCATGTGAGAGCATTTAGAGTAGGAGAGTGAACTCTCCTAACTCTCGACCGTACTAGGGCATTTGAAGGTAGAGCATATATAGATTACTTTGTTATGTATCACTTCAGTAAATGTTACAAATGAAAGACAATAATTGAATCAAAAGATTCTATGTTGTATAGATCTAGAAAGATTTATCTATCAATTAAGAATAAAAATGAATCTCTATCGATATAATAAACGATTACAATAAATGAAAGAAAAGAACAGGAAGTTACTTTTTTTTTCTTTTTTTCTTCCCAGTGAATAACCTACATTTATATGTTGATTATATTTAATAAATTATTGATTTATAATTTTATATGAGCCTAGTTTCAGTCTAATTTTGTTGTTGACATATCCGTTTCCCCCATTCACAAGTCACTATTCATTAATCATAAACAAAATTTAAATGAAATACAAAAATTCACTAAAGTATAAAAGTATTATTATGCAATAGATCAATATATATCAGATCATAGGTGGTTGAGTTCCTGGAATAAATATCATTACTTAACATTTGCCCTAATCACTCAGAATCCATGTAAACTTGCAGTCTTAGATGGTGGTTGGAGGTAGTCAACAGGAAACTCTGAACCCGGGTTTCGTGCTACTTGGCACTCGTCAGCAAGGTGTACCTGTAATCTTGAGGGAACTGGTGCTCCCTGGCGGATTCGATCTCGTGTCACCTAGCTTCACAGTCAGAGACGTTACCACTGAGCTATCCGAGCCGTGACTAACCTCCTGTAGGACTGAGATGTAATCACAATTGATTGATCACTGGGTGGTGATCAATGTCATGCTTGTCTAGTCCTTATTAGTGCAGATCGAATGCTATCGATCATGTTGCAATGTGGCCACCAGTCTAGGTGACTCGACACTGCGAGCACTATGTATTGAGATTTAGATGGTGGTTGGAGGTAGTCAACAGGAAACCCTGGACCCGGGTTTCGTGCTACTTGGCAGTCTTATCATCAACTTACTTCAAAACGGTCATCATACTTGAAATTACATATAGGGTTAATTGTGATTAAAAATGGTGTAATCTATGTTAATATAGGCAATGATCTATGGAGAATATTGTGCAGATTACCATATACTTCAACAAAATGGTAAAACCATAAAACGAAAATAATTCTTAATTCAGTATAAAATAGACAATAAGGGGTCATCCATTTCGAACAATTTGATCACACATTTTTATATGGAAACAAAAACGTCAACTAGACAGGTTAAAGATAAACTGAAAACTTAAAAGATGTGTCTGTATAAACGGTATGTGGATGACATCATTTTCATAGGGGATAAACGTGAAGATATGAACCACTTGTTAAAAGAACTAAACACAAGTCAAAAGTATATTTCTCTTATATATGAAGAAGAGAAGAATAACCAACTTCCTTTCCTAGAAATACTGATTAGTAGGAGAGATGATGGTTCCAACCAACGTTCTGTATATAGAAAGCCGACATGGGCAGGACAATATATTAGTTTACATATTCACTACCCAATTCATTACAAACGTGGATTAATAAAGGGATTATTCAATAGAATCAATCACATTTGTACTAGCGATACTACTGAAGTAGAGGCGAAGCTCTTGAGTGAAACGTTAATCAATAATGGTTATTCATTGAAGTTCATAAACCACTGGAAGGGTTGCAATACGATTAGACCGATGACGCTTCTGACACCCAAAAGGGAGTTTACATTATATTACCATTTAGAGGTGATTCAAATAGTCTCATGTTGAAGCACAGACTTAAATTAACCAACTTGTCATTATTGAAAAGACGTCTATGTTCCACCAAAAACGTAAGCGATTGTGTCTATCAATTTACATGTATGTGTAGAATCACGTATCTAGAGAGGAATATTCGTGATCTGCAAGAAAGGATGGTGGAACACATACCCAAATGGCTGCAGAAACAAATGAATTCCAATGGTGAAATAAGATCACAGGATAGACAGACATCTTTCTCCACTGCAAAACATTTGGTTGAGACTGGTTATAGGGTTGATGTCAAGCCAGCGATTGTAGTATTGTAAGAAAGCCTTCAAGAATTTATACTAAAGTTTATTGAAGCCTTAGCTATACGGAAACTGAAACCCCCTTTATGCGTTCAAAAACAATTTGTTCTTACCCTTAACCTACCCTGGTAATACTGATTTATTATCCAGAGTGGTTATCAGGTTGTTTTTGTATACTTTATTATTTATTACTACGGCTTACCTTTAGTCTGTTTAGTTGACCTTTTAACTTTCATATATAAATGTTCTTACCATGTATATTATGTGTGATCAGATTGTTCGAAATGTATTGAGCAAATATGTCATCACATAATTCTGATAACTTTCGTCATCTCATTGCCTTATCGAAATAAGGGGTGAATAAAGTTTAAAAAACATAAAGTATACATTCATTACTAAATAATATTTTAAGGGATTTTGTTATCAGTGATATAATCATAAAAAGATCATTATTAAAACACCGTTGGATGCCAACTCAGTGGTCTTAAGGTTCAAATCTCGCGAGACGGGATTGTGGATGCGCACTGCTGAAGAGTCCCACAACAGGACGAAACGGCTGTCCAGTGCTTTCAAGTTTTCCATGGTGGTTTAGCTTGAATCGACTGATGATCTCAACTATACCGATATAATAATTCCGAAAGAATAACTATATTGACGAAAGATAACTGAATGAAATCGAATACATTGAATTTAACTGACAAATAATGAAATACATCAGATAAATAAAGTTGAATTAGAGAATAGTTTAAATGATCAAAATAATTAATTAATATAAGATTTTAATTCACAGGATAAAAATAAATTTTGATCACAAAATGAATTCAACTGACGAAGCACTAAAAACCAACGAATAATGGAGAGGATTTTTATTTTAGACTAAAACTCTAAATGAACGGAACATTGCCTACTAACTTTTGATTTTACTCACAATCATCTGTTACTATAATCCCATTCAAACTATTGCTTAGTCTAGTGAAGTTCTTAAGTTATAGTGTAACATTATGATGGCAGTAGAGTTCTGCTATGTCATGAGTTTAAGATGTCAGTGACATTGAATAGTGGTTGTATAATATCACAAACTGAATAAATTTGAAAATGTGAATTCCATCTCTGTGATAGTATTCATCATAAGGTCTAAAAATTCTAGATTCCGTTTTTATCAAGCTCTATTTATGTATAATCGAACATGCCCCCAAATGCCCTGGCAAGGCCGAGAGTGGAAAGTCAGCTCTCCCTCTCAAAATGCCCTCACACGGCCACGCGTATACAGCCTCTGCCAGAGAAGTCCTACTCACTGCCTTCTCGCTGCACCGGTGTTGTTTACGAAAATGAGAGGACGAAAAGCGAATGTCCGGCGCTTTAACCGGATTCCAAACCTTCAGTGCACATGGGCTCCAGTATCTTGCGGGAACAAATGGAGTATGAACCAATTTCTTGGTCACCGGCTACCATGGGACTGCATCTCCTCACGATGCTCCACTGCCTTGTGGATCAGACCTTTAGGTCAAAGGCTCGGGGTGTGACCCCCTAGGAAAACACCTGCTTCGGTCTGGGCACCCAGGCAGTATCACAGCCCAGACACATACAAATATGGTGTGGCGCATATACATTTGATGCCCTCTTGTACCAATATTTATGTTTTGAAATAAATAAATAAATAATCGAACATTGCCGAGTTTTATTGAAATAGATTTTCATTTATTTTAAGTTTTCAATGGTTTTATACAACTGAATTCAATTAATGATTGAAACATTTTTCATAACAATTAACTAAAGGTACCTACTAACTTAAAAGAAAAGAAAACTGAAATGAAATGAAATGAAAAACGATACTGAATGAAATTGACTAGAATAATGATAATAACACCATAAAATGCTATTTGATTCATCGCTTTAAATGACTTCCGTTTTCGTCAATAGAAGAAAACTTTGTAAAATTTATTATTAATAAAATAAAACTAAATACGCTATGTTAAGTAAAGATGGATAGTGGTTAGTAGTGGAATCCAGTTTGACTCACATTTCATCCTATTTAGGGCTCTTCAGCTGAATGTATCTGCAATTTCATAGTTGATGTTCACTCTGGGACTCAAACCCAGTACCATCGGCTTCAAACACCATCGCATTATCCACTTAGTTACTGTGTCCTTATAGCTACCTACTTGTGTAATGGGGTGGAGTTTAACTTTATCAGGGCGGCCTGCTTGAGCATCTGGGCTACCTGTTCCTGCCATCTAGATATTTCAACAAGTTATCTATTGTTGTTTTTTTTAATATATCATTATGTTTATTAATCGCATAACCTATTCTGCTGCGTTTCTGAAAAGTGTACAACCTTTCGTTGTCAAAGTTACAGAAAACTCAATAAGAGACAATATGGTTGCTGGCAATGTACAACGAAAAGAATGTACATTATTCAGTTGTTCATTCACTGAAGTGCTAACATCTAACTGGCGATTCCTCAATATTTATCGCCAGGACCGACCAAGAAGAAAGAAACGGAAACTTGTTGAAATACTTTGCGCTGAGAATTCTATATTGTACCAAAATTATAATATTGAATAAAGCTAATAATAATAATAATGTAATAATGTAATGTTATTTTACATGTATCTTTCCATTGTTATTTAGGACTGCAATTGATCAGTCTTATGTTGGCATATGTACATCCTGTGAGGATCGCCTTGATATGCCTTATGCTTATACATACATATATAGATATACAGATATAATTCACTTACATGATTCAATTGGTGCACCAATAAATGTGAAAATAACCAATAAGAATGTTATTGTCACATAAATAATTGCAAATGGTAAAGGAGCCTTGATAAGTGTATAAAGATAAACAATAAAAGTACAGAATTTAGTTTTAGTTTATTTTAATAAAATTTACATTCATGACTGAAATGAATTAAAGAAACAATGAAATGGAATGAGTATTGTGTATACAGTTATCTTATTTCATTTCATTTTCTGAACTCTTCAATAGTATGAACTCATCGACTTAAACTATTAGACTTTAAAAGTGGAAATCATAAAAATTTTGCCTATATGTCAAAATATTTGATCCTTGCCGAGAGTGGAAATGTGGATAGAATTGCTTTAGTACACACGTTTGAATGTTAACGATTTTCCCATTGTTATCATTCCATGAAAACCTTTTAATGGAAGAATCCATTAATAAAATATGTTAAACATTTTGAATAGTTATTCATTCCTGGTTTATGAATTTTGTTGTTGAATTTGTAATATCTACATGATCAAACATTAAATCTGAGATAGTAAAGAATGATCTTTAAAGTTCAACTTTTCATAACTTGGTATTTTACTAGGCTATGAGCACAATAGATTATTTGAATGCTAATACTATAAACTACCTAATTACACTTTGGTATATGAAAATAAAATAGAAAGTTTAATAGTTAAATGATTAGGGGAACAGTAATGCAGTTGTGAGAAAGTCTCTACTGTAAAAGAAATGAAATTGTTTCAAAATGATACAGCGAATTTCTTCAACTGTTTTGGCAATGCCTATAAGATATCAATTCTCAAAGTTTCATCTTGAAAGGTGTTGTAAGTGTGGAATATTTGTGATTTTAAACCTTTTTATATCTTGTGTACAAGTAACTTCTTACTAATTTGATTTTTCAACCATATGAATACGTAACAAAATGAAGCTAGTAGGTTCTGGGTTCGAATCCCGCAGGGGGTGGGTTCGTGGATGCGCACTGCTAAGGAGTCCCATACTAGGACGAAAATGAATAGTATAAAAGTGTTAATGTCAACAAACAAACATGGTACGCAGAAACGTTATATAATTTTAAAGAAATCTTTGAAGAATGATTACTATATATAATTGATTGAACCGATTTTTCACCTTGTAGATTATTCGTTAATGTAAAAGCATTCCCTATTCATAGTTGAAGTTTTCAGATCTTAAATCGATGGCATCGTCGTTTATTTTACTATTCTTGTGTATATGTGGAATGAATAGTGTCAAAATTGGTATTTGACATATGAATAAACAATCTTTTAACAATTAACTTTGTACACTTGAATGTAATAACTCGACGTACATTGAATCTGAAATTTGAACTTGACATTAACAATGAGACTTTGAAAAAAAATGTTTAGTTGCTAGGGTTGAAGCTATCACGAGTTCACTTAATCTGAGAACGAGAAACAAGACTTGGTGACCAAAGACTAGTAAGCTAGCTATTGATGCATCCCAGCCCCACTAACTAGAGGGAAAAGTCCAAGCTTGGAATGGGGAAGTATATTCTGCAAACAGCCAGAAACGAACGATAACAACAAACACAATTCAAAACGTATATATACAGTACAAAACCGTCCTTGGGGAGAGTTACCAAATAACATACTGAAAGACGCAACGGACCAATAGCATTTAAGATATTTCTCAAGTGCGAAATACGACATGAAGGTGACAATAGCGCCTTTGGCGCGAAAACAGAGAAATTCAAATTTTCTTAATAAAATTACAAAAATTAGGTTCTTTCCCTAGTGAGTTCTGGGGATCTAACGTTTCCAACATTAGTAAAACGTTCCGAATGGATATTTTGTTTTTAAAAATTCAGCTTGACAATAACATTTACGAATATACTACTCTTGATGATGTTGTTTTTCATTAACTATCATTTATAAGAATAGATTTTATTATATTAAAAATCTCGATGTTTTGAAGTTTAAGAAGAAGTATTCTTAAGAACTTAGTCATCAGTCTCCGGTATGGGAAATGAACTGCTCACTCAAACAAATTAAAATCCACAAGTCCTCTTTTCTGAGTAGCTCCAACTGCATTTACCAATTTACATGTACGTACGGAAGAACTGAGAGAAGAGTACATGGTTGCATTCCTGAACATGTTCTAAAAGAATTGAGGCTGCGAGGGAGAAGGACTCTCAACATTGCAATAGCTTAATATTTACTTGACACCGGGCATACCATTGATATCTCTCATGCTTTTAAAATTACTAACAGACAAAGAAGTACGGCTACTCTCTGTTTTTCTGAAGCGATCGCGATAAAAAAAACTTAAATCGAATCTACGTATTCAAAAAGAGGCAGTAATAAACTTATTACTACCCTGGTTATCAAAAATTCAGCTTGACAATAACATTTAGTAATATACTAGTCTTGACGTTGTTTTCAGTAACTATCATTTTTAAGAATAGATTTTATTATATTAAAAATTTCGACGAAGAAGTATACCTAAGAGCTTAGTCACTAATAATCAAACAATTATGTAATATCTTGTCTCATGTGAATAATCACGATAACGTATTTCTACCAAATCTTGGTATATGTTTTTGAAGCTTGACAGTATTGTTTTTTTTTGTTTGAAATCTTGAGTTTAACAGTTGAAGATATTATCACTGAGCTGATTGATGCTGGATGGTCCTACTGAAGAAATGAGATTTCTACACTGATTAATCATTCACTAGCAAATAATGTCATATAATTGAATTCCATTACTTAGGATGCGATGTTTCCATCAGCTTAATTGACCAATATCCTTGTTTATTTACTTGACATTAAATTACACATTTAATGCTTGAGCTATTGATACTAATTGGCGACGTAAAACGTATTGAACAGAGTGGTATGCAAACATGGTGACACTAGCTGAATGTCAACGGTTTTCAGCTTACTATAGAATACTTAAGTGGTTTTAATGAGAAAAAATATGTCGAACAAGAATATTTAACAAACCAACAATAAAACAATCATACTTACTTTAACTGGACGTTTGGCATCAGGTCGTGTATATCTGAATACGATAACAATCATTACACATACGCCAATAGCTAACCATTGAACAAAACCCAAATAGGTCATCAGTGAATAAATATCTGTTACAAGAAGATAAGCTATACCGGTGATACACTTTGAGAATGATGATAATGAAGTGAAGAAACAACAAAAGAACATTTAAGGAAAGGGAAAAATTAGAATATAGATGGAGAAACAGATAAGCTAATAGTTAGTTATCATACGTAATAATCAATCAATGATGTTGTACTTATAGCGAGTAAGTATTAAAAAAAAGTAGGCTTTCATGAGTAACTTTAAACTATTATCATGAAAATAATTAGCTAGCAAAGATTTTTACTTCAGATCAGGAATCCATTGATGTCAGACCACCAACGAAAACCTGGAAGCACTGGACAGCCGTTTGGTCCTATTGTGGGACTACCGTATGCTCACTAGTGACTACCTTCGTGAGGGGATTCTCGGAGTTCGAATGAGAAGCCGTGATCAGTGGAGCTAATCTATTTCGGGTAGAGACAGGTATTTACCTCAGTACAATGAAAGATAGTCTCGCAATTTCGTGGATTGGTTGAAGTTAAATATTAACACCGTTGGATGCTGACTCAGAGATCTAGAGGTTAAGCGTTCGCGCACGAGACCAATAGGTTCTGGGTTCGAGTCTCGCGGAGAGGGATCGTGGATGCGCACTGCTGAGAAGTCCCATAAGAAGACGAAACGGCCGTCCAGTGCTTCCAGGTTTTCAATGGTGGTCTGACATTAATCGGTTCATGATCTCAATCAAAAACTTAATAATCTCCACAATCCTATACTGAGAGAATTTTACATTGGAACTACTGATACTATATATATATGTAACTAGGTTGGAAACTGATATCTGATCATCAGATGCTGAACAGTTTTGATATTATCACATTATCATAGAATATTAAGACTTAAACATCAAATAATATTGTTACAAGGTGCAATCGCGTTCAAAACATGCATTTCTTCCATTTTTTCAAATTTCTAATGTTCCTTCTTATCTCAGCACGTGAAAAATGTTAAGATAATGAATGCTTTGACTGAAAACAATATTTTTCGACTGGTTTTTACCAGTTTTTACTTAGCTTAGTAATAATAATAATAATAGTAGTAACTTAACTTACTAATCACGAGTTTAGTGACTCGACTAAGAGTCAAATTGTCGTTGTGAGGATTGGAGGTACTACTATCCCATAACCGAAATCTTGACAGGTGAAGATGTATTTGTGATCCTACGTTAGTGGTTAAGATGTAAGTGCTCTAAAAATTAAGCTACTGTAATTGTGCAATACAAACTTATATTTTACTAATCTGCATAAATTCATCCTGTCAAATAAATGATAACAGACACTGCCTACTTAAAGTCTTGAATAAGTAGGCTACGATGGAATAAACAATAAACATTTACGATGTTAGATGGTTGGAGGTAGTTGGTAATAAAACCTGAGCCTAGGTTCGTGCTCGTTGGCATTCATAACTAAGGTGTGCCTGAAATAACTATTGCTCCCCTCCGTATTTGAACTCACAACACCCAGAAATACAGTACAAGACGTTACGAGTCAACTATTTGAGTAGTGATCGACTTCCAGTGAGACTAAAATATTTACGACTGAATTGTCACCGACTACTGATCAATGTCATGTTTGTCTTGTTCTTTAGGGCTGATCAAAATCTGTCAACCAAGTTTTGGTGTGGCCGTTAGTCTGAGTGACTCGATATCATGTTCACCATGTCAAGATAATAAGTGTTTAAAGGAATACCTGGGTTCGAATCCTACCGGTTAAATCAGCTCCCTTGAGATCGCTGGTACCTCTTTCTGCTGAGAAGCACCTAGCACGAAATCTATGTCAAGCACAGTTTCCTGTTGATTAACTTCAAACACCTAATGTAGTGAAAATAATGTCGAACCACTTAGACAAGTGTATACACTGCAATTTAATCAACAGATTTCGATCAATTGTAAAGCATGAAACGATTCAACTTGAAACCACAAATTGAGATTTACCCGTTTCCGTCATCTTGAATAATTTTTAACTGTTGATTCTACGACTATCAGTTAATCAATGATCTTAACTGTTGACTAAAAAAATTATTCCAATTTCTTTCTACATTTTGCATAATTGAAGGTATGCAGTTTTAAAGAAAAAAACATTTGTATGTGATTCATCGATTTGTGTTTTATATTCCAGATAACTCATCCAGATCCAGCTGAATCTTTCATCTAAACTAAGTTCAATAAGAATCCTTCAACATTTAAATAAACAGAAGGGGTTTGTGGAGATTTTAGAAATTTCACAGATTGAAATCTTGAGTCAATTGAAACTAGACCGGGTCTGTTGTGAGATATCAGCTCACTGAAGACAATGGTATACGGTGGCTCGACTTCGTGGATTGGTTGAAATTAGACATTAACACAATTGGATGCCGGCTCAGTGGTCTGGTTGGTTAAGCGCTTGGCGCGAGACTGATAGGTCCTGGGTTCGAATCTCGTGGGGTGCGGGATCGTGGGTGCGCACTGCTGAGGAGTCCCATACTAGGACGAAACGGCCGTCCAGTGCTTCCAGGTTTTCCATGGTGGTCTAGCTTCAATTGACTCATGATTTCAATCTGTGAAATTTAAATAAACAACGATTATAATTCAGAAGTATGAATAATTGAGCAACTGATAACTAGACTTATTAGAATGTAACGAAAACCAGTCAAAACTCTGCCAATAACAATAAGACAAGGTAATTATTTTTTACGCACTACAAAATGTATTCAATCGAAGAATTAAACTTTATTCTTACAGTAAAAAGGACAGCTGGTATTGGTGTCAATTTATCCTTATGCAGAAAAGATATGAATCTGGGCATATGAGATTCACGGCTAGCTACAAAGAATATCCTTGATGTAGTCAACATATTGCCATTAACACCACCAAATGTTGAGAAAGCAACAAATATTGGCATAATCCACCATGCTGGACCGTATATTCGATTAGCAAATGTCTAAAGTAAAATAAAACACAACAAATAATAGAAAATATAAAATGTGTTTTTATCCAAATATTTTACATTTGGTACTGATTACTATATTTTACAAGGACATATACTGAATTTGAGGGATCGTTTCAGCTGAATATTCTTTCAGAGGATTTCCTCCCATTAGATTAGGTGATTAGATTATTAATAAAATAAAAACAGTTTTGATATCGTTTGGTAAGTATCATGAAGTATAACAAGAAGTCACAAGACTTCAAAGTATCAAATAATGAGGATGAACGTCGATTTGAGAATAGAATTATTTCTATGAGTCTATGTTCTTATTGTTGATAGTACGGAATAGGATGTGCATTCTAAGTGGATTGATTTATTACTGCCATTTAGTCACAAGCTATATTATATTTGAACTGCAAGAATGGAATGCAGAATGTGAGATTAGCTCCATTTGGGGCTTATTGGTTACATGTACTCGCATCTTGGTGTTTGTGACTTCGACCTAGTACCTAATGTCTGTAGACGTCAACGCGTTATCTACTCAGCCACTAACTTTAGTATTTTGAACATCAATACTGGATGTACGTAAATCCAACTGATAAGTCCCAAATAGGATGAAACGTGACTCCTGAATTTTACTGCAAGCCAATATCCAACTTGAATAAAAAGTGTGGCGGACTTAATGAAGCTTAATATTGTCTTAAGTTCCCAAACGTATTATAAAATCATCTAGCCAATTCTCTTTATAAAAAGTAACCAATAAAAACTGAAAACTGAAATTTCAACTCAGTAATCTATAAGTAACTTATTTTCTATGTGATCTGAAGATTGTGGATTTATTCCTATATAGCACCGTTCATATGCACTACTAATTAGTTTTAAAGTTAGATTAAAAAATCATTAATTGGATGCAAAGATGAACAGTGTCTAGCAGTGGAATCCAGTTTGACGCGCGTTTCGTCCTCCATTAGACTCGTCAGCGGGATGTACCTGCATCTCAGAGTTGACGTTCCCTCGGGGACTCAAACCTAGTACCGTTCGCTTCAAACACCATCGCATTATCCACTTAGCTACTGAGCCCTGATAGCCACTTGCTAGTTCAATGGGATCAAGTTTAAATTCACTTAGTGTTGTTTTACTTGAATCTTCTGATTGATGTTTAGGACTACAATTGATCAGTCTCTTATTGGCATATGTGCATCCTATGCGGATTGCCTCGATATTGCCTTAATTCACAAGCATTATATGCAAAGATGGATAGTGGCTATATATAGGCAATATGCACAGTAAGAGTCTGATCACTTGTAGTCTTAAACATCAATGAGAAGATTCAAACAAACCATACCAATTGAATTTAATCATTGATTAGGTTTTTTGTTAATTTTATTTCATCAGTAATATCACCATTCAATAATTAGTTAAATTACATAGAGATTACTTTAAATTGTAATGAATTAGCTTAGACAAAATCTGACTAAAAGTAAGGGGGGGGAAATAAAGATTGAATTACAAATTAACCTATTTTTTATCATCTTAGTTAGAAAACATTAAAACTTATTTATTGATTTAGATTATATGAGTTAAGCTTAGATTTAAAGGAACAAATGAGTTGACAAGAAATGTATATTATCTATCCCATACATGCCTAACTAGAAATGATGGTTGCATAATTATTAATTATCTCTTTCTCTCTATTCAAGGTTATTTGTTCTTTTACGATACATTAAAAAAATGGGGAAAATCTTTTTAACGATTGAATTATATTGATTGTTTAATAGTATCTTAGTATATGACAAATAAGTCTCTTATACTCTCAGTTAACAATATTATAATGTATTTAAGAAAAAGTAAGAAATTACCTTTTTCTTTCTGCTACCGTTATGATTGGGTCATTTACTGGATTATAACAATAGGTTACTATCGAGTTCGCCTATCGACTATTTTTTTCTCCTTATGCCAACAGAATCAATAGCTTTACTTAGATCAATTACTTTATGATTCTATACAAACAACTGAGACCTTAACACTTATTTGCTCACTAGCTTCTTTTCACCTCATGTTCAATGAGAAGATGGAGTTAAGCAGCCAATTTTTTCCATTACTTTTATTGACTATTGTCTATCATAATAACCCAAACACTCAAAGAATTATATACGTTCATTATCAGAGTAAAAGAGATTAAATATAAGAAGTTACAATTCATGCATAACCTTTTTCAATTCTGTTCCAACATATCAATATTACTGACTAAATAACTGAGGCATTAATGATGCTAGAGATATATAAATATAAAATCAAACTACCCGATGGGTTGCAACTTTTCCTAAATTTTGAAATTTCATTTTTACCCCACCCATAAATCTACTCCAGTTTTATCTTAACAAAAATTGCATCTTGTTGTTAGTTAATTTCATTTTGTCATGGTGATTTTTATCCAACTTTTCAGTACAATAAAGAAATGTTTATGCGTAATTATTACTTGCTTAAATCAATCACCTTTAGTCTCTACAACAAATTTTGCTGAGCGACATTTACCCCTTGTTATTCGAAGATAGAAAGAAAAAACACAACTTTTTTTTATTATCTGGCATAGCAGAAATCATAGCTAAAATTATTTCATTGTGTTTTAGTGTTTGTAATCAGTCAGGAGGATCTGAAACTTGGTTTAATACTAGTTAACAGTCATCACTAAGACGTACTGTAATCTAGGATGAGATTGATACTATCCATAGGATTAGAACTTTTATCACAAACTCAGATGTCACTGTCAGGTTATTCGGACAGTGATTTATCTTTTGTAGGATTGCGATGTGCATTGATCAGATCGAGTCAAAACTAATATCTCACTAAATACAAAAGCCATATTGGAATACAAAACTGATTAAATGCTATAAAATGAAGATTTCAAATATAACTGTCAATAATATAATCATCGTCACGTACGTTCAAATTAACAGTTATTATTAAATGAATAAACTCACTCACATGTGATTGCTTATGAGCTACACTTCAAGTGTGAAGGCTAATAATACTAATACCCAGTTGACCGAACCAAAGTAGGTGGGGCAGGGTTCAAACCTGGTACTTAGTAACCAAAGCTCGAGCGTCTAAACCAATAAGCTATCTTTCCACTTATATACAAAGACATGTTGAAACGAATCAGCAATTCTTTAAAATAATATTACATGAGTATGAAGAATTTGAAGGGAATGAATAACTTCAGAAAATCAAGAAAATACCACTTATAGAGACAAATAAATTTATGACGTTGGAGACCACCGGTAGGAAGTATTGAACCTAGACTTCATGCCATTCGATACTCATCGATGGATATTTGTAACGTTGGAGGATGTAAACAAACTGTGCTGTGAATGTGAGCCAGTTCAAAACCTAGATTTAATAATTTTTACTGATTCCGTCCAGCCACCTAACATAAAATGTATGATATGAAGTCACATAGTCTAGTGAAGATATTGAAACTTTTTCAATAGAATTAGGCTAAAGAATGAAGATACATAACATACATTCCTATTCAATGGTTAATCAGAGTAGATGATAACAAATAAACACGAAATATTGTTGAGAGATTGGAAAATACATCCAAATTTGTATATTATATCTACATCGCTTATTAATTACTTGAAAAAGAAACGAAGAACCAATGCAATTCCCATAACACGAAATAAGAACAACAAGACCTGTACAAGTGAACACGACGACGACGACTAACACGAACATCAAGACAGTCCTACTGTATGGGGCTGAAACATAAAGAACTGTCACAAGCACATTTAAAAGTTTGCAAGTATTTATAAACAACCGTCTACACAAGATACTCAACATCCGTTGGCCGGATACCATCAGCAACAGTTTACTGTAGAAGAGAAGAAACCAACTTCCATGTGAAGAGGAAATTAGGAAAAGACATTAGAAGTGAACAGGACACATATTACGGAAATCATCAAACTCCATCATGAAACAAGCGCTAACTTGGTATCCTGAATGGAAAATGGAAAGAGGAATGCCGAAGAACACACTACATCGAGAAATAGAAGCAGACATGAAAAGGATGAATTGGAACTGGAATAGGTTGTCCCGGACAGAGTTGGATGGACAATGCTGGTGAGTGACCTATGCTCCTCAACGAGCGGTAACAGGCGTAATTAAGTTAACCTTGTTACAAAAATTTTTAATTTTATGGACTTATTGTTTACATCAACAACAGATTATACTTGTTTTCTTTAGAAAAAATATCCAGAATTGCATTTGTGATTTGTTATATAATTTTCTCTTAAATATTAACATATTTTAATCGAATATTTTTTAAAATATCATAACTAAATAGAATGAGTCAATTGAAGTTAGACTATCATGGAAAGCCTGAAAGTACTGGAGAGCCGTTTCGTCCTGATAGGTGCTAGGTTCGAATCTCGCATGCTGAAGAGTCCCACAATAGAATTAAACGGCCATTCAGTGCTTTCAGATTTTTCATGGTGGTCTAACTTCAATTGAATCATGAATTCAACTATTGCAGCAATTACAATAATCTCCACAAAACAACCCTTCTCTCATTATCATTAAATTATTCTTCTCTTTTTTTTGTTGTTGTTCAAATTCAAATCTGATAAACGCGGGGAAAAGTGATGTAAATGACAACTGTATGTATGTGTTGATAAACAAACAAACAAACAAAATCCAATTCATTTTCATGATACAAACATATTTTTCAATATGAATGCTTTTGACTGAATGACCGACCGACGGCCCTTCCTCCGCCCCCCCCACAGTTTCCCTAATATCCTTATTGTTTATTTAAGTGAAACAAATGAATCAAACAAATTAATTCACGTAGAAACAATTTTTTTGTTGTTGAATAGATTAGAGAAAAAAATAATAATAATAAAAAGAGAATATCCATCTAATTTGTATCCTAAATTATTCATTAAATTAATGTTCTGAATATTATTTACATTTTTTTTCTGAGAATTTTATCACACTGATTTTTCTTTTTC